GGGGGAGTCTGATTTTTTTCAGTTCTTTTATATATTCTATATAGTATTTGGATAATATCAAGGGGCCATCACAGATGATTGACATATACATTTTCAATTTGCACTTAGAAGTTGGCACTCTGTGCGGAATTTTGTGATACACACGGATGGAATTGCCTAATAACATATTTCTCAGATTATATTTCCATCACATGTCATGTGACTGTATTGAAATTTAAATTAAAAATTTTGGCCTATATGGAGTCTACTAGCTAACTGGAATTTTTTTTTCCAGACCACTATTTGTTCAGTATTGGTTTTGAAAATCTTTTTAAAACAAATGACATCCTCTGATGTCTTGTAAATGCTTGAGATGTTTTTTTAAATTATATGGAAAAATGTTTAAGTACTTTTCAGTTTTGTTTTGGTTGAGTTCTACTATATTTGAATATTATAGTTTTTTTTCCCTTGCATTTTTTGTCTGAATAATTTTAATTTTTGTGTAAGTGTGTTTTTGATAGTTATGCATTTTAAAATTAAAAAAAAATTAAAGTATGCCATCACTAACATCAATGACTGAAACTTTTGAGTAGATTTGCAAAATATAAAAATTGGAATTTCTGTACTAGATGAGTTTGACTGTCTTATATACTGTGTTCTGTCTTGATTTTTGTGACCTAATTACATTTTGATAATTTTAGGGAACTCTTACAACATCTCCTGAGGTAAGAGTGTTTAAAGAAAGGGTAGCAATAATGGCATGAAAGAGCTAATAATAGTCTGTAAGTGCCTGTCTTATATGACTGAAGAGAATCTGTTTTCTAAGAAGGTGAAAAATAAAAACAGCCCAGTTTTTATATGCATTTTCTGAAGATAAGGCATGTATGTTTTCTTTGTATATTATTGTGAAACATCTTATAGGTAAAAAAATTGAAGGAGACTGAGGATACCCTGAGTGAATCATTTTTCCAGGATTTTGAATACCCCAAGTATGATGATTATAGGGCAGAGGCCTTCTTGCACCAGCAGAGGAGAATGGAATGCTACAGCAAGGCAAAGGAAGCTTATCAGATGGGGAAAAAACATGTTGCCACCTTTTATGCCCAGCAGGTAAAGTGGAAAACTAATTATTTTTTCTTGCCAGTTGTGTTAGCCAGATATTCTTGAAATTGATCTTGAAACCTATACTGTGGTATAACTGGATGAAGTTATTCTAAGGAGTGTATAGATTATAAACTGATGGAAAGAAATAAGATATCCTAATACAAAAGAACTCTGATTTTGAAAATTTTATCTCTTTTGTTCACTTCCTGTCATTACTTTTACATTTATGGCTTATATGAATTACAATTATTCTGACAGTCAACATTTTCTTTTAAATTAGATTCTAACATGCAGTACCATTTCTAAACAGATAGTTATTCTGGAGGAAAGAAGAATATTAATATTGGCCATCTCAGGGTAGAATTATAGGAGTCTTGAGTTTTCTATCATGATTGAATTCTTAGTAATATATTGCTCTTACAATCAGAAAAAGAAAATGACGGTATTTTTCAAGCAAGTAAAATTTCTACCTGGGCTCATTTTGTATGCTGTTCTATGAAACCATTTTGATTTATTTTTTATTTTTGTGGTTCCACATGGCTTACTTTTTTGAAAAGAGTACGATGTCAGAGTGCTACAGCCAGGGTTTTTTTTTTTGGTACTGGGGATCGAACTCGGGTCCTTGTGCTTAGGAGGCAAGCGGCAGAACCACTGAGCTAAATCCTCGGCCCTACAGCCATGTTTTGCCTAAGAACAGTTCTAGGGACCTGGCTTCAGAATTTAACTGCAAGATTTTGAAAGGGAACACCAAGCTGAGACCCAGGATTATCAAGGGTATACTTGTTATCAAGTGGTAAACCATTGGGTTCTATCTTCAGATAGATAGTATTTAGTTTCCTTCTTTTATGATTTTTGGTTCAGAAAATATACTAGAAACAATGATTCACTCCCTCTACTCCAGGGAAGGGAGAATGGGAGAGGGGGTTGAAAATTATTAAGATATGTTATATTTATTTATTTATCCCTCAAAATGAATGTAAATTTTATGTATTGCAAACATGTACCAATAAAAAGTCAAGCACCAGAAGCAGCTTAAATATACAAGTGTGAATGGGTAAACGGGTTGTACTGTATCTGTACTATGAGATTAAAAATGAAAAGAAGTTAAAAAATGAGGTTGAAAAGTTAAAAATGAAAAGAAATGAGCTATTGACATTCAGTATATAATAACATGGATGAGTCTTAAAACATGACATGGAATAAAAGCTTACTAATATAATAAAGAAACAATAATTCACCAGTTTAAGAACTGAAACTTGCTTACATTTTGATGCATCCTTGTCTTTTCGCCCTGTGCATTTAGATTTTAGATTTATTGCCCTGCCTTTTATTTGGGTCACTATTAGTTTCTCATTGTCTGAGTAGAAAATATCAAGTGTCCATTGGTGATTGGTTTATAATTATAAAGGGTAGTCTTCATGAGCGGAAGATGAAAGAAGCCAACCACCTTGCTGCCGTGGAGATCTTTGAGAAAGTCAATGCCTCCCTGCTGCCACAGAATGTTTTAGACCTCCATGGACTGCATGTGGATGAAGCTGTAAAACATTTGATGACAGTTTTACAGCAGAAAACTGAAGGTAGGACTATGATTATGACACCTTTTCTATTGACAGTGTTAGTGTAACTTGCATTGCAAATTCAAGAGTGTCTGAACTTACAGGCTGAGAATAGTTGCCTCATTTGTACGCAGTTGTGTCAGCCATTCTTCAAGAGAAACTTCTTGGCAGAGAACTGTCACTGATGACTGTTAACAGTCCCTTCTCTTTTATGTCCCTGTTTCAGTAGTGTGTATTCCTTCTCTGTATTTAGTTAAGAGAGGGTTAGAGTGTAATATGAGAGTCCTCAGTCATTTATAAATGGGACCATTCATGAGTATTATATATCTTATTCAATGCATATCTGTTAAACTTTATGTATATTTATTGGATATACATGGTTCAATTGATGTTTAATAAAATAAAGAAGTAAATGAGGTAATAAGATTTTTTGCAGAGTTGTCACTAAGGCATACTTTCTAACTGTCCACAGTGTGGCATCTTCCTTAGTTCTGCCTCTTTCTAGGGCTCTGGATGAAGGTCTTTTTTGGTGCCTCCATCCAATATTGTGTATTTCTCATATGCTAAAGTGTCTTGACACATTGTGTTTCCTTTTTATCATCAGATGGTAGCACTTACTAGAAAAGTCCAATCTGTTTTATTTACCTCAAACTCTAGTACTGAAAGTCATGTCTTTTCATCATTACTATTTTGAATTGCCAACCTAGCCTTTTCTTTTTTGTTTGTTTGGGTTTTTGTTTTGGTCCCGGGGGTTGAACTCTGGACCTTTCGCTTGCAAGGCAGGCACTGGAACCACTGAGCTAAATCCCCGGCCCCTGCCTTTTCTTTATTTTCTATTTTATTGGGGAGATTGTAAAGCCTCATGCCTCAGTTCTTACTTTGTGGCTTCAGAGCCCTACGTTGTCTTTGACAGGTGTGTTGTTCTGGTCAATTGATTTATATATATTTTAGAAAGCTTTGTACCATATTTTATACAGATTTATCAACTCAACACATATCACTTATAATTAATTAGAGTTGATTAAATAAGATTGAAATATAAAGTTGAAATCTTATGTTTACTATGACATATTGCAACCATTTTGAAAAGTTACAGAACAATAAACACCTATAGCAATGAATCCAAGAATCCAAATAAGTTATATTATTTTACTGTGTTTTTCAATTTTTTATTCTTCCTTTTGTATTTCTCCTCTCTCTTTTCTTCTTCTCTCCTTCTCTCTTTCTCTTCTTCACTCCCCTTTCCCCTCTCTCCTTTCTCTTCTGTCTGTGTCTCGGCAGAAGAGAACCTGTAGCCTTTGATTTTTCTAGGCATCTTCCTTCCCTTTCTAATTGAAATAAACATTTTGCAATTTGGTGTACATTCTTCCTACCCATTTTTACTATATGTGCATGTGCTTATGTTTAGCTCGTAGTATTCCTTTTATGAATTTTAAGAAAATGAATATACATGGTGTCACATTATAGCATTAGCCAAGCCACTTGCTTAATTTTCACCCAGTAGAGTTTTTAAGACCTACTTATCACGAAGGATCTAGTTTTTCATTGTACTTCCCTTTAATACTCTATGAATATTCTATAATGTATTCACTCATTTTGATGGCCATATAGTAATTGCAGTGAACTTTATTTTGCTTATCAGCATGTGTACTCTTGTCACTATCTTTTTTCTAACGTTTTTATAATAAAAAATTAACTTACAGAAAAATTGGAAGAATCATACAATGAACACTCATGTGTCCTCTATGTAGATTGATTGGTTTTTTTTTTTTTTTTTGGGGTACTTGGGATCGAACTCGGGATCTTGTGCTTTTGAGGCAGGTGGTGGCACCACTGAGCTAAATCCCCAGCCGTATTGGTTTTTAACATTTGGCCACATTTACTTAATCTCTCTAAAATTGCTTTTTGCTGAATTATTTGAAAATAAATTGTAGACATTGTATTGCTTTAGATACCTCACCGTGTGTATCTCTTAAGAACAAATTTGGACAAGCACATGGTCCCAAGTTCAATCCCCAGTACCAAAAAAATTAGAACAAATTTAGAGCCAAAACTGGTGGCATATGCCTGCAATCCCAGCACTTGGGAGGCTGAGGCAGCCTAGGGTACATAGCGAGGTCCAGGCCAGCCTGAGCTACATAGTGAGACCCTATTTTAAAAAATGAAAACTAACCAACAAACCAACAAATAAGAACAAATTTGGTCTGGTCTGTGGATGTAGTTCAGTGGTAGAGTGCTTGCCTAACGTGTATGGGGCCCTGGGTTTGATCCCCAGTACTGGAGACAAATTTATTCTCCTGCATAACCATAATATCCTTATCACTTTTAACATTGATACAGAAATGTTGCCTAATATATACTCTGCATTCAGATTTGTACAGTTGTATGGATAGTGTCCTACATAGCTGTGTCTCCCCCCTGTCCCATCCAGGATTCCGTCAAACATCAGATATTCTCTGTTAGTATCCTATGTCTGTATAGTTTCCTGTAATATAGTTTTCCCTTTCTATTTTTTGTCATCCATATCATTGACAGTTTTGAAGACTCCTAGCCAGTTGTTTGGCAGATTGTTCTACACTTTAATTTGTCTGATTATTTCCTAATGTTTAGACAAATTAGGTTAAATCTTTTTTTGGAGGGTTTAAAATTATACCTAGGTGAGGGCCGGGTTCCGCTGCCTGCCTTGAAAGTGCAAGGACCTGAGATCGATCCCCAGTACCAAAAAAAAAAAATTATACCTAGGTGATACTAAATCATCCTTGGTGAATGCATCAAGAGTCATATATAGTCATTTGTCCCATTATTGATGATGTTAAGTTTGATTCCTTAACAGGAGTAGAACTTTATCAGATTTTTCTTTGTAAATGTACCTTTCTCAGCCAGGTATTATGGTGCACGCCTGTAATCCCAGCACTCTGGGAGGCTGAAGCAGGAAGATTGAAAGTTCCAACTCAGCCTGGGCAATTTAGTGACTTAGCAAGACCCTGTCTTAAAAAATAAAAGACTTGAGGACACACACACACACACACACACACACAGACACACACACACAGACACAGAGTACTTTTTCTTCTTTTTAATTAGTTAATGCTCTTTGGTGGTTGATACTGTGCCCGCTTCAGCAGCACATATACTAAAATTGGTGGTTGATACTTTGTGGCTCTTGTAATCAGTGTTCCTTCCCCTACAACATTTTACTTAGTGGCTTAAGCATGTATTGATGGCCCTTTGAGTCAGTTATCATGTTGGTGGTTGCATAATGGTGTTTTATAATTTGTTTTCATTGTGTTATATTAGTTGACATTCTTTGATGGAGGATCCTACGAACTCAGTAGTTTTTAAAATTAGAATCATGAAAACTTGAGATATAGAAAACAGTTGTGGAGAACAGAAAAGAAAAGATTCAAGAGCAATTTAAACACATTATTATTTAATCTGAAGAAAAGAAAAATTCTTCAGGTATATAAAATACCATAACAATATTCTGTCAAAGATGAATTAATATTCATTTATACTGAACATATATTTGATTATCCTAAATATTTTAGGGATTAAAGGTAAAGGAGTGAAAAAGATATGTACTTCCCCTATGAAATTTGCCATCTACTGGGAAGATGACAGTGAACAAATGGTCACATAAAGACTTAGCATTGGGATAAGAAAATAGAGGTTGCCATGTTGGCGTTAGGGTAAATTCCAAAGTCCCTGCATAATATGTTCCTTGCCTGCCTCTCCAGTCTCATCTTGTCTCTACTCCCCCTTCTTTTCTGTGTGTTTAATTAATCTGTCATTCTTGACCTCCATACTAGTTAGGCTCCTTGTTAAGAGCTTCTCATAGTATTCCTGTTTATCGCAGTGTTTATAAAGCTCATTTTAGCATTGTTAAATGTTTGTCCTTTTAGCCAAGAATTGAGCCAGTGGTGGATATTGAATTGTGATTATCTGTAGTGCTTTTTATTCAATGCTCAAAAAAACTTTTGAATAAATGACTACATAGGTAGGTAGTCCTCTCATTTTTTTGAGCAATAAAATTATATGTGTTTAATGTGTTCAATATCATTTGATATATGTACACATTGTAAAATGATCACCACAGTCAAGTTAGCCCATCCAGTACACCCTGTAGTTAACATTTGTGTGTGTGGTAAGGACACTTAAGATCTACTCTTTTAGCAAATTTCTGGTATACAATATTACTAACAATAGCTACCTGTTGTACATACAATTCCCAGATTGATTGATTGATTGTGGTGGGAATTGAGCCCAGGGCCTTGCACATCCTGGCTGTCCATTCTACCACTGAGGTATATTTATCCCCAGCCCCAGAACTTATTCTTATAACTGAAAGCTTATACCTTTTGACCAGCATATCCCCATTTTCTGCTACCCTAACCCCTGGCAACACTTTTTCCATGTGTTTGACTTTTTAGAATCCACATATAAGTGAAATCTTACAATATTTATCTTCTGTCTGCCTTATTTCAAGTAGCATAATGCCATTCAGGTTCATCCATGTTTTTTGCAAATGACAATATTTCCTTCTTTCTTTTTAAAATCACTGAATAATATTTCTCTGTGTGTGTGTTTGTGTGTGTATACAAACAAAATAGTAGATCCATAATAAAATTTTATTTGGCCATGAAGAGGATGAAGTATTGATACGTGCTATAACATGATTGAACCTTGTAAACATGCTACATGAAAGAAGTCAGGTACAGACAGCCATGTACCATATGATTCCATTTATGTGAACTGTCCCAAGTAGGTAAATCCATGGACAGAAAGTAGGTTTCTGGTTGGTGGAGCTGAAAAGGGGGCTATTTGAAGTGATAGCTAATAGGCTCAGAATTTTTTTTTGAGGTAAGGGAATGTTCTGAAACTAGTTGTGTTGGTTGTACAACATTTTTAATAGAAAATTGTTAATAGACTAAAAATCACTGTATTGTACATTTAAAAGGTGATGAGTTTTGTTATATGAACTTTATTAAAAAAATTATGTGAAGAAAAATGGATTTGAGTAACTTACCCAAGATAATACCTGTTCAAAACCAAGACACAAATTTTCTGAAAGCCAAAGCCCATCTCCTGCATGCTATCACCTGATGTAGCCTGTAGTTGCTGTCCATCACCACCAGATGGTGGTATTGCTGGATAGAAATGTTTTCAGAGGACTATCTGTGGCTCTGCCCTTTGTTGCTTTTAGTCATAATATAAAAGGACTGTCAAAATTGGGGATAAATAAAAAAGTGGATCTTGTATGCCTTGATTGAAATTTACATCACTACCTGCAAAGTAATTTTGCTCCAAAGTCAAACTAGTATTTGATTAAGCCTTTAGGCCTGACCTATTGTATCATAGGGACTTATAGGGGACAGAGGAACATGTTAAACAACACCACAGGAATATATTCAGGAAGTCCAGACTGATCCTCTTTTTCAATAAATTTAAAAGAAAGACACAAAGGGAAGAAGAATTCTTGGGTTAAAAAGTTAAGAAATATACCAGTCAAAATGCAGTATGGGTCTTATTTCAATCTTGATTCGAACAAATCACTTAATTTAAAAAATTTATTTTTATTTTTCATGCTTTTTTGAGACAGAGTCTTGCTGTGTAGTTCATGCTGGCCTTGAACTCAGTATGCAGCCCAGGCTGGCTGACCTCATGGCAGTCTTCCTGCCTCAGCCTCCTAGCTGCTGGGATTACAGGTGTGTGCCACCACATCCAGCTTAATTTTCTTTTAGATAATTGGAAATTTTTAGAAACTGAAGATATTAAGGAGCTGTTGTTAATTTTTTAAGGTGGTGATATTGTGGTTGTGTTTTTTGTTTTTGTTTTTTTTGAGATGTGTTTCTCATTGCTGCCCAGACTGCTCTTGAACTCCTGGGCCCAAGTGATCCTCTTTCCTCAGCCTCCCAAGTGCTAGGACTTCAGGTGTGCACCACTCCACATGGTTTGTGGTTATGTTTTTTTTTTTGAGTCCTTTTTGAGATACATACTGAAATATTTACAGTTTAAATAATAAGCCATCTGGAGTACTCCTAAAATGAGTTATAGTGTTCTTTCACAGGTGATGAACAACAAGAACAACCTGTAACTTGGGAAACTAAACACCCATTAATTCATACAACAAATATTCTTTGAGCTCCTACCTTATTTGAGGCATGTGAATCATCCTGAGAATCACCTGGAGAGCTGCGAAAGAAATACTGAGAGTCAGATACTATAAATGACAACGTCAATGATAAGGGAGCAGTAATGAAGGAGTGATAGGAGTAAATTATGGTTAAGAGATTTGGGCTTTTTTGCATTTAATTTCTTGTCATGCCAGATGGGTTCATTCTGCTTTGCTTCCTGGGGTTGTGATCCTCAATGTCTGTTCCTAGGATATTGTGTAAAATT